ACCTGCCCCGTCCTGAGACTCAGTGTGGAATTTCCGTGTCATTTCGGGGCTGCTCCCAGCAGGGGCTCGGGGACCCGTGTGCACAGCTGATGCTCAGCCCTTTGCACGGTTTTCCCGGCCGGCGTTTCCCCTTGATCAGCTTCCCTGGGCTCTGCCACGCTCGGGCGCGCGCGGGTGCTGGGTCGGGCTCCGTGCATCCCCGTCTCCCCGAGTCTGCGTCCGCTCTGTCCAGGGAGAGAGGTGAGCCCCTGCCTGTCCCAGTGAGGTTCAGCTGACGCCCCTCCCTGCAGGGGATGTCCATGCCGCAGTCCTGTCGGTGTGGCCCTGCGAGCCCAGGGCTTGCCCTGCCACCTCCTGGCCCCACTGTTCCAGCCTTCCAGCCTTCCAGCTCACCCCAGGGCCTTTGCACATGCTAGGCCAAACTTGTGTGCTGATACATGCACAGCTCTCTGACTGGAGCTACTATGGAAGGGGGCTGGGTGGGGGTGGGGGCTCCCCTCGACTCCAAGCGGGGGCTGACCTCAGGGACCTTTCTCCTGGACACAGCTGCTCCGTGGCCTTTGCTGGAGCTCAGGTTCTGGGGCAGACGTGCCGCTCTTGAGTTTTTGCTGACAGCCCCCAGGCTCGCTCTCCGGAAACCCCGGTTCCCCCGTTAGGCTGCAGCATGAGTGGACCCCTGGGCCTTCCAGGGCCCCCAAAGGCAGGTGCTCGCTCTGGACGGAAGTGGTGGTGGCCGCACCCAGGAGTGGGGGTCTGGACCCCTCCCCCATCCAGGGCTGGGCGGTGCCTGAATCCCACCCCAGGTAGGAGCCCTGCACACCCGTGTTCCGGGTTCCGGGTGGTGCCCGTGGCCTCGCAGACACGCCCGTCGTCCTTCCCGGGGGCTGGGCAGTGCTGGAGGCCGGAGGTCGGCCGAGCGTCGTCGTCTGCGTCTGGACAGTCCGGCTGGGAGACGTCTCCGCCGGGGCTTGGGGACACAGATCTGCGCCGTGACGTGTCACCGAGACACCAGCTCTGCTGTGGGGTGGGGCTGGGGGACCTGCCGTCGAAGCCGGCGGGCGTGGGAGTCAGAGGGAGGAGGCAGCTTCTGGTGCCGGGCGCCAGTCAGAGAGCAGGTGAGGGTGGCCAGGGAGCCCCCCAGGCCCCCGAGCAGCACGCCCCGCCTCTGGGGGCGCCACTGGTGCTCAGGGCTGGGGCTGCCAAGTCTGCTGGGGCCTCACCTGCCGGCCGGGGCTGCAGCCTTGCACCCCTCCAGGCCCAGGGAACGTTCTGACCGGCTTCACAGGGAGGGGCCAGACCCAGCCCTCGGCCACCTGCACTCGGGGGGGCCTCAGGGTGCCACAGGGGCTGGGCTGGCGTCTCGGGGAGCCGCAGGACGTCTGCGCCCCTCTCCAGGCCACCGGCTGCCCCTGCCCTCCTGGGTGCGAGCCGTGGAGGGAGAAATAGGCCTTTGGGGAAGTGGGGGGGGGGGCGGAGAAACGCAGTTCGCGGGAGCACGGGCGCCGTTTCCCCCGTGACCAGCAGAGGGCGCGGCTCCCCGCTGTAAATCCCCGCTGGCAGGCGGGGGCGTGTGTGGTGTGTGGTGGCATGTGTGGTGGTGTGTGGGGTGTGTTTGGGGGGGTCCTTCGTTGCCTCCCTCCGTCCTAACAGTCTGGGCGCAGGTGTCCCCGGGCGGGCTCTTTTCCGAGCGGCCGGACTTTCCGTTTGCTTCTGCGCCCGCGGGTGAGGGTCTTCCCAGGCCCCAGGCCCCGCCTGACGGTGCTTGGGGTGCGGGGACGGCCTCCTCCGTCCCCTGAGGTCGCTGTGGGAGGCTGGGCTGTCCCTCCCGGAGGCCCGTTTCTCGGCCCCACTCTGCACATCCACTCACTCGCTCCCTCATTCATTCATTCACTCCGTCACTCATTCATTCACTCCGTGGAAAGTGCTCACCTGATCCCAGGGCTCCCGAGCTCCAGCCTGGCTGGGCTCAGGGCCCTCAGAGACGGGGGCTGGAGCCCGCGAGGGTCTCTGCAGCCACCCGCAGGCCCCTTCTCCCTGGACAAACATGTGAGGCCTAAAATGGCCCAGAAGGACCCGCAGGCCTGTCCCAGGGGAAGGGGCAGGTGCTGGGGTCCCCGGCTGGCAGCCGGCGCCAGAGGGTCTCTGGGCACGGAGCCCCACCCAAGTGCGGGTGCTGTTACCCCTCAGGGCAGCCCCTGGGACTGATGGCATTAGGAGGGGGGACCCCGGGTTCGATCCCTGACACCCCCCAGCACCGCCAGGTGTGACTCAAGAGGGAAAAACCCATGAAACCGCCTGACCCTCCCCCCACAGCCCTCAGGGAGGGGCGCAGCGCCCGCTGCCCAGGTGCGGCCAGCACCCTCCATCCCTCCCCCCGCACCCCTCCATCCCCTCCCCACCCCCAGAGCCCCCTCGGTTCCACCCCGCCTCCAGCCGCCACACTTCCCCATGGACACTCACCTCTGCCCCCATGACCAGTCCAGGCCTGCAAGCCAACCAGTTGTGTGGTCAGCAGAGTGCACGTGTGTGGGGCTCCTGGTTGCCCGGCCACCATGGCCACTCCAGGGCCGCATCCCTGTGAGGCCCGTCTGCCTCCGGGGCTTTGGGCTCAGCCCCTGGTCCCCACTGTGTCCTGCTGTCCACGCCGCAGGTGCCCCAGCAATAGGCCGGGTCTCCCCTGCGTGGGTCTCAGCCCCAGGCGGGTGCAGGGCCGAGGGTGGGTGCTGTGGCACAGGCCTGGAGGAACCAGCAGGCGGGCCAGGCAGGAGGGCACCCGCGTCCACTCTCGGTCTCCTGGGAAGGCTGACTGCCGCCTGGATGGGCCCGGGCTGGGCACGGGCAGCCCCTATGCGGGTGCCCAGGGCGAGTGGGCTGATGGACAGCTGGCGGGACGGTGGAGGCGGGACTGGACGGGGCGTGGGGCGCCCGGAGTTCGCAGGCGCCTTTGTGCAGGCTGACGCTTCCTTGGGGTCAGAGTCGGGGAGGCTCCCGGTCACTCTCAGGGAGTCTTGGAGTCTCGGTTGCAGTCCTGGAGGACCCGCGGAGGGGGGGGGTGTCTCTGCATGGGGTCGCTGCCGGGCGCCTCGCAGGTGCGTGGTGTCAGCCGCCCAGGGCCCCGTGCTGTGAGGGGGAAACGAGTGTGTGTGAACGGGGGTCCGCCAGTGACTGCGGGAGGCGCGAGCGAGAGCGGGTGAGTGTGTGCGTGAGTGAGTGTGAGTGAAGGAGTGAGTGTGTGAGCGAGTGAATGAACAAGGAAACGGGTTTCTGCCTGCAGGAGCACTGAGGGATTGAGTGAGCGAGCAGATGTTAAGAATGAGTATGGGAATGAGCGAATTAACGACTGAGTCGGCAAACGGCTTAACGTGGGGGTGAGTGTGGGAATGAGTGAATGAACGGACGGAATGAGTGTGAGTTCCTGGGTGCACGAGGGACAGGATGAGTGAGAGTGACTGAGTGAAGAAGTGAATGAGCGTGAGTGAAAAAGTGAGGGGGTGAGTGGACGAGCGTGAGTGCAGGTGTGAGGGGTGAGTTAGTGAGTGGATGAGTCTGGGAGTGAAGAAATGAATGCGTGTAGGAGTGAGCGAATGAATGAGTGGTGTGAATGGCCGTGAGTGCATGAGTGACCGCGCGAAAGAGCGAGTTGAGGGAATGAGTGGATGGAGGGAGTGACTGACTGCGAATGAGTGAGTGGACACGTGAGAGCGTGTGAGAGCACAGGCAGGGTGTGCGAATGAGTGAATGAGTACGTGAATGCGTGAGCGCATGTGTTAGCGAATGAGTCACCGCGAATGAATGAGTGACTGTAAGAGAATGATTGAGTGGAGAGGATGGATGAATGAATGAATGAATGAGTGATTGAGAGGATGAGTGAGTTGAGTGAATAAATGTGCGAATGAGTTGGATGAGTGAGAGGAGTGAGTGAATGAATGCGTGTGAGTGAGCGGATGAGTGAATAAATGAATGAGTGAGTGAATGAGTGAGTGGAGGAATGAATGATTGTGAATGAGTGTGTGAGTGGAGTGAATGAATGAGTATGTGAGTGTGTATGTGAGTGCGTGAATGAGTGAGTGAGGGAGGGAGGGAGAGCCCGGTGGGAGCGCTGGGAGTGGGTCCCGCCTCCACCCGGCCCTGTCCTTGGTCCTGCTGGGCTTCACCTGCGGGGGGTGGGGCCGCGCCCTCCTGCCCCGGGGCGCCCCTGGGCCCTGCTCTCACGACAGGCGTGGGGGTCGCTGCCCAGTGGGCGTCCCCGCCCGGCCCCTGCCCCCGTTTCTCCCCGCCCTCCTGGGCGGGGGGCGGGAGGGAGCAGCTCGGGAGGCGCCTCTGGGGGTGGCGGCGGCCGGGAGGCCCCGCGAGCGGCCCGGGAAGCCCCCGCCCAGGGGGTGCGCGCGCGGGGGTGCCCAGGAGCCCGGCTGGGCCAGGCCAACCCGGGGAGGCGCCCTGGGAGGGCGGGGGGCGGGAGGGGCGCCGGGGCCTCGGGTCCGGTGCCGGGGTGGGGGTCCCTCCTTCCCGCCTCCTCCCCCTCCTCCCCGGGCGGCCCAGGTGGGCGCGACCCCTCCTCCTCCCGCTGCCTCCCACCCGCGGCGGCTCCGGCTCACTCCCCTCTCGTGACGTCATGCACCTCCCGCGCGGCATGATGGGAGAATCCTAATGTTTTCCAACAGATGCTCCAAGAACAGCTTTTAGATTAAAGCCATTGCCAGAGCGGAGATTCTTCCTTTTTCCCCTTTTTTTCCGGGGGGGTGGGGGGTGGGGTGGGGGGAGGGAGCGCCCCCAGAATTTCCTGGACATCACCCCCGGCCCCGAGCACGCAATAAACACTGGCGAGAAAAAGTTTTTATTTCCTGGTTCAACTTTTCCTTTTCCTGGAATATGGACCGAAGAATGGGGATGAACGCGGATAAATAACAAAGCGAGGCGGCGCGCGCCGGGATGCGGCTGGATGCGGCCCTGCGGGCCATTGTCTGCCGGCCCTGACGCCCGCCCGGCGGCCCCCGCCGCTCCCGCCCGGCCCTCCGGGACCCTCCTCGGGCCAGGGACGCCCCCGCCGCGCCCCCGGCCGTGACCTTGGCGCCGCGGGCGCTCCCGTGCCCCAGGCCCCGTCCAGCCGGCCCCGCGCCGCCCGGGCCCATGGCCGCGTCGGAGGACGGGAGCGGCTGCCTCGTGCCTCGGGGCCGCTCGCAGAGTGACCCCAGCGTCCTCGCCGACTCCCCGGCCACCTCCTCCGCGGACGCCGGGGCGCACCCAGGTAACGGGCGCGGGGGCGGGGGCGCGGGCGGCGGGCGGCGGGCGGGCGGGCGGCGGGGGCGGCGGTGCCCGCGCGGCTCTGGGCGCGCGCCCCGCGCTCCCTGCGCCCTCCTGGCCGGGCAGCCGGGGGGTCCCCGGCGCGCGGCCGCCGCGCCCGCACCCCCGGGCCGGCCGGGGCGCCCCGGGAAGCCCTTTGTCCGGGAGGGATCGATGGGCGGGCGGCCGCGCGGCGAGGGGCGCGCGGGACGGGCCCCTGGCCGCGGCTGCCCCTCGGCCCCCGGCGAGGCCGGGCTCCCCTGCCCGGGGGCGGACCCGCGCGGCGACAGCCGGACCCGCGGCCCGCGCCCAGGGCGGGCTCGGGGCTCCGTGCTCGCTGCCGGCCGGCCCCCGCGCCCAGCCTGGCGCTGCTCCCGCCGCGCGGGGCCGGGCTGGGCGCACCTGGGCACGCCGCCGCCGGACAGGTGTGCGGGCAGCGGGCCCGCCGGGAGCCAAGGGCGGGCGGGCGCGCGCCGGGCTGAGCCCGCTGCGGGGCACTGGGTGGACCTGGGCGTCCCCCAGCCCGGGCGGCGGCGTCAGCTGTTGAGGTGACCCATCGGACCACAAAGGCGTGATGGATTACTTTCCAGAGACGAAGAAAGGCCCCATCCGGCGGGAGGGGGCTGGGCTGTGTGCGCCCTGTCGCCATGGAGACGCAGAAGCAAAGTGATCATTAAAACCTTTCTCCACCAGAAGGCAATTTTCACTTCACAGGGAGAAGTCGGAGCTTCTGAAACGTGAGGTTTGAAACAAAAAGGGAAAAAGGGAAAGAAAGGAACCAGAATGAGATCTGGTGCTGGGGGGTCCAGCGCGGGGCTGGGGTCTGGCTTTAGCCTCGGAGGGACCGCAAGTGGCCTGACACACCTGCGGTCCCTCAGTGCTGGTCCCCAGCCCCCTCAGGGCCTCCCTCAGCTTCAAGCCTGTCGCGCTGGAGAGCCCCCAAGGCTGGGGGCCTGGGGTGAAGGCAGATGTGTGCAGATTAGGGTGCCTTCACTTTGTGGGGACCCCGGAGTCGCGGTCTCAAAAGGCGCAGCGTGGCTCGTGGTGGGCAGTTCTGGAGCCCTGGGGCCCAGCGTGCCGTTCAGTGACGGGCCCTTTCTTGGCGGAGCCCCCAGCCCCGATGCAACTTGGTGCCTCTTGAGGCGGGTGGCAGAGGGGCCCGAGGGAGGAAGAAACGGGTTTTCCAGGAGCAGGGAGGGCTCCTTCATGTCCTCCGAGTTTCAAGCGGAGCAGCCCTGGGGGCTTTAATTAATCCTTTGATTAGGAACCCGGGAGGAAGTCCCGGGATGGGTCGCCTTCTCCGCGCTGGGGAGGTGCGTCCCTGCCGGTGCCAGTGATGGCAGTTGAGTGGGTCGGTCGCCCCCGGAGCACCGAGGCAGCTGGTGCCAGTTCCTTTGTCTCTGGCACTGGAAGGAAGCAAACTGGAAATTCTGCAGGGTTTGGCCTTTTGGCTGCCGGTGAAGGGGGCCTGCCCGGAGGAGGACGGGAGGGGTCGCAGGAGCGGGGAGGGGGGGCTCACCTCCCAGGTGGGGGGAGGGTTTGGATCCCCTCCACCCCGCCCCCGGGGAGCAGACTCCCCCAGGAACGACCCCCAGCTCCTCTCTGGTTCAAGAACCAACTCTGGGTGGAGGGGCGGGGAGGGAGCTCCCAGGACCGTGTCCAGAGGGAACCGGTTCAAAGTGAAGTTCCTCCTGTGGTGGTAGGTAGTCCTGGTCCCAGGGTCCCAGGAGCTGGGGGAAAGGGAAGGCGAGGAGGCGTCCCGAGAGCTCGGAGAGGAGAGGGGCACGTCTGGGAAGACGGGAATCCCCCCTGACACGGGGCTCGAGGTTGGCCTGTGGCTTCGGACTCGGTGGGCTGTGTGTGTGCGAGGTCACGGGTGCCCACCCAGGCCACGGCGCCCCTGAAAGGTCCCTCCTTGCCCCACGCTTGTCCCCTGGTCCCCGCGTGCCCCGCTGCTCTGTCGGCCCCCTCTGGGCGCAGAAACTGTTTCAGCTGTCGCCAGCCTGGACCACGTCAAGCACATGCGTCCCACCTCCGTCGAGAGCCTGTTTCCGCCCCCAGAGGCACCTCACCCCCCTCGCTGGTCACATGACGTGTGACGCTAGTTCTTTCTCTCTCCCTGTGGTCACTTGGGCCCCTCGGGCCGTTCCCTCCAGGCTGTCGTCCAAGGTCGCAGGAGATGGGGTTCAAGCAGGCAGGTGGTAGGTGTGCGGGCAGGGGGTCCCGCGGCCCACCCAGGCTGGGGATCGGAGCGCCCTGTGGTCCGAGGCATGCAGGGTGCAGGGCCAGCCTCTCAGAGCTCGGTCACCACTCAGACAAGCACTGAGGGACGCAGGTGTGTCCAGGCAACTTGTGTTCCCTCCGAGGCTAAAGCCAGACCCCAGCCCCGCGCTGGACCAGGGGTGCCCAGCCTGCAGCAAGTCTGGGCGACCTGCCTTTATTCTGGTTAGCGTGGCCCCTTCCCTCTGTCCCCGCAGTGGCCAGGGCTGGCACGCCTGGCCGCAGGGCTTACCCTGGGAGAGCTGTGCTGGATTGATATTGGTGCGCACACATGTCGCACCCGTATCCGCCGTGGGTCACACTGATCAGCCGGACGAGATGTACATCTGCACAGGGAGCTCGAACCCCACCCCGGCCTGCACCACACACCCTTGCTAGCGCCCGGCCCCTCTGCGCTCCAGCAAGGGCTGCGTGCTGGCCCAACACCCCTCCTCCTCCTCCTCTTCCTCCTCCTCCTCCCCTTCCTCTTCTTCCTCCTTTTCCTTCTTCCTCTTCTTCCTCCTCCTTTTCCTTTTCCTCCTCCTCCTCCTCCTCTTCCTCCTTTTTCTCTTCCTTCTCCTCCACCTCCTCTTCTTCCTCTTCCTCCTCCTCTTCCTCCTCCTCTCCTTCCTTCTCCTCCTCTTTCTCCCCCTCCTCTTCCTCCTCTTCCTCTTCCTTCTCTTCTTTCTCCTCCTCCTCTTTCTCCTTCTCCTCCTCTTCCTCCTTCTCCTCCTCCTCCCTCAGCAGGCCCCGTCAGTGCTCCCCGATGCGCAACCCTCACTTCCTGCCACCCTGTGCTCTGGCCTGAGGCAGCATCTGCTCACTTGTGCCCTCCTAGGCCGGCTCGTGCCCCTACCCTGTCTGTCTGTCTGTCTGTCTGACGGTCTGGCCACACTTTCCGGCTGCTGCTCACTCGGCTCCGTCCTTCCCAGCCCACTTCCTGGAGGCCCGCTTGCTGCTGGGTGGGGACCCACAAACAGGCGCCCAGAGGACCAGAGCCACAGGGGACCGCGCTGAGGCTCTGCCCAGGAGGGAGGGGCCCTTCCGCACGGAGCAGCAGTGGGCCGTGGGCGGGTCCTTCTCCACCCGGGCACTGTGCACCCACTCGGGATGCCCACACGGCCGTCCCTTGCGGTGGACAGACCTTACCTGAGAGGCCGTCCCTGGGTCAGTGCTCCGTGCTGTCCGGCCCTGCCAGGTGGACCTCTCAGCGGGCACTTCCCGCCCTGCCCTGCCCAGGTGGGCCTCGCAGGGACACTTCCCGCCCGGGCCGCCTGCTTCTCTCTAGACCATTCCTCGAGCCCTCTCCTCCCTGGAGCCCTGGGTTCTGGGATCCCCCTCTGCCCCTGTGGGGCGTCTCTGCCACTTAATTAGCCCCAGAACTCTGCAGTAATTACCTTGTCAGCTTCCTCGGGGTTATTAAAAATAAAAGCCGGATGCCTGGAAAGAAAACAGCCGGAAGCCACATGTCCAGGTCACGGAGGCACGGCCCGTGCAGGCCAGGCAGGAGGTGTTCGTCCTCCCCTACCCCTCATGACAGAGATGCTGGCCACAGCGAACTGGGCTCCAAGCCCCAGGCCCCCATGACGTGGCCTGCACTCAGGCTGGAGCTGGGACAACAGTCAGCTCTGGTCCTCTCTCATGTGTTGTGATTCGGGTGGGGGGGGGGGTCTTCCACGCCGAGCTCAGGGGGTTTCAGCTGAGTGGGTGCTTGTTTCACTCGGCCCATCCCGGCGGTTTCCCGGGGGTCCAGAGCCGCACCCAGAGGTGCCCAGGAAGCCGCGTGGTGCTGGGGCAGGAGCTGCCCTGACACGGCTCACAGGGCGTCCCCCCGGCCACCCCCCACCCCCTCCAGAGCAGTGTAGATGCGGGGAGCTCTGAGCCCAGCACCGCGGGGGTGTGGCATGGCTGTGACCATCATGCACCTGGGAGAACATTCCAGAGTGGCCACTCCCTACAGGCAGGCAAGGGCCGTGGGTGCAGCTGCGCAGGGCTGCGAGGGATATGGGGATATCGCCGTCCCCGGGCGCACTGTCACCTATGGGTGACGGGAACTGCCACCGCGTGGATGGAAATGGGAGAAGTTTGAAGACGAGGGGCCGGAGGGAGAGACAGTCCAGGGTTGAGGCATTTGCCCTTCCTGCCGCTGAGCCCGGTTTTACCAGCACACATGACCCCCTGAGCACTGCCCGGAGTCACCCCTGAGCCCACCAGGTGTGGCCCCAAGCGCCGGACTCCCAAAAGGGCATTTGCATCTGACCAGCGGGGACTTGAGGATTTGCGGCAGAAGGTTGTTGGGTTTGCGAGGGCACCCAGTCCCTGTGGCGGGCACCTAGTCCACTCTGGACTGCTCTGCCTGGTCCCTGGGGCGCCGTCCCCCCGCTCAGACACACGGGAGGGGGCCCGGAGCAGCCGTCAGTCTGCAGGGTTCATTGTTGATGTTCTGTTGGGGCTACACCCAGGGCTCAGGACTGGTTCCTGGCTCTGACCCAGGAATCACACCGGGGAGGTGGGGGGTGGGGGTGGTGGGGGGAGGGACCCTGGGCAGTGCTGGTCAGCTGCCTGCAGCCAGTGCCCCCCCCCCCCCGCCCCGCCTCTCCCACCCCGGGCCAGCCTATCTTAAAGGGGAGAGGGGGAGGTCCAGCTTCTGAGGGGTGATGTGACTCACACTGGCAAGCCTTCTGGCTAGGAGCTGGCCACCCTGGC